CATGTAGTCGTGGCTGACTCGGTCAAAAGCCTTCTCTTGATAGAGAAAAAGGAGGCCGGTGTCCAGTCCATGGGTGTCTGCCAGGTCGATCACGTCTCTGACCACCCCGATGTTATCATGGATAGACCGCCCCGGGATACAGCATGTCTGTTCCGGCTGGATGATCCTCCCCGCCGCGCCCTTCAACCGGTTAACCAACGCCTTTGCGACGATCTTATAGTCCGTGCATAACACGGACACCGGCCGCCAGTTCGCTGCGAGGCGCAAGTCCCCCTTCTTGGGCAACAGGGTAACCACTGCTCTCCTGCAACTCTGCGGCAACTCCCCTTTTGCTAGACTCGCATTCAGCACCTCGACCAGGGAAGGGCCGAGCTCACCCCAAAAAGCTTTGAAGAACTCGGCTGGGAGGCCATCGATCCCAGGCACCTTCCCAGTAGCTAGGCCACTCACCGCAGCCTCCAGTTCCTGGAGGGTGATCAGCCCTTCCAGCTGTTCCATCTCGGGAGGGGTCAGTCTAGGCACACCCTCTAACAATTCCCCAAGAGCATCCCCCTGGATGCTTTCTGCAGTAAACAGATCCTGGTAAAAAGCCCTAACGACCCTAGCGATGCCCTCGTCGCTCGTGTGGACTTCACCACTCGGTGCCTGCAGGCTGGAAATAAGGTTTTTGGTGACTGGCTGCCTCTGTTGCCTGAAAAATGATTTGGTAGGCGCATCCATCTTTAGCAGATGTTGCATTCTCTGATTCGCAAAGGCCTTATAGGCTTCGCGGTCTGACACAGACCTCACCAGCCGTTGCTGCTCCAAGAGCGTGCGGTAATCCGCATTAGTTTGGGGTGAGCCCAGCTCTGCTTCCAGCGCCAGCAACTCATCCCGTAACCGCTCTTCCCATTCCCGCCTAGCTGCTGCGTGCTGGCTCATAAACCGCTGGCATAGTGACCCTATCTGTACCTTCCCATTATCCCACCATTGCTGGAGCGTGTCAAAGTTGCCCTTTGTGTTAGCCACCCCTTCCAGAAGGCCCTGAAAGCTCTCTGGAAGTCCGCATTCTCTAAGAGTTGCAGGTTAAAACGCCAGTAGGGTCTGCGGTGCCCAAGAAGGGGGAGACGCAAGCGCACCGACACCAGGTGGTGGTCGGAAAAAACCGGACGGGACCACCCTGCTTTCGCCGAGCAGGTTAGCACCGTCGGCATTCACGTAGAGTCAGTCCAGCCGTGCGAGGCTAATCCGCCCTTGTGCACCACACCGGCACCACGTATATTGCCGCTGGGCCGGATGTTGCAGGTGCCACGTGTCGAGTAGGTTTAGCCTCCGTACTATGTCAGCCAATGCCTGCGCAGTCTCCGGGTGAGGCTCGGCGCCATTACGGTCGAGAGTCGGGTCGAGGGTTGCAATTAAAATCACCCCCGACGATCGTGAGCACCTCGTCCGAGTCGGCTTCGTCCAGGGTGTCCCTCAGTGCGCCCGAGAAGAAGAGCCCCCTCTCGCGGCTCGCGCTCGGTGCGTACACGTTGACTACCCGCAGCCTGACGTCGCCGAGCACAACTCGGCCGTAATCAGGTGTCCCTTCACGATCTCCCTAAAGGTCACATGGTCAGGAGTGAATTTTTTGCCGCACACAATCGCGACCCCCCCCGGTTGGCCTCCCCGTGGCTAAAGAAGAACCGGCCGCCCATGAGGTGTTGTCGTTGAGCCTGCAGCGTGGCATCGAGGTGTGTCTCCTGTAGGAGCGCCACTTCGACGTTTGGTCGACAAGAAAACGACACATGCGTCTCCATTTCTCATCGCTTCGAGCACTATTGCAATTCAGACTCGCCACGCGGACGCCTGACGCCATTGCAATAGGGGGGGGGGGTGGGTGCCACCGGTGGTCACTGCGGAAGGGGGGTGCACCCCTTCCTCAGTTTTTGTACAAACTTCTGCAACCGGTAGCATTTCTGCTGGCTGAAGCCGCATTTATTGGGGTCCCGTTGTATATTTTGTGCGGTGTTCAGGAAGCCCATCACATCGGGGAAGCTCGCTTGGACGCTGACTCGACGCTTCCTGAAGGACGATTGGAGGAAGCTTTGGACGGTTTCGGGTACGTACTCCTGCTCCCCTCCTACTCCCGAAAAAAACATTTCACTGGCTCCTTCGTCGTCGACGTCGGACCCCGACTGCTCTTCGTCGTCAGAGTCCCCGTGTGTGTCGGCGCGTACTCCGGCCGTCACTTCCTCCGACGACCCGGGCGGAACCGGGGTCTCGCCAGGCTCGGGGTGCTCTCCTTCTGTGGCCTCCGCGGCCCCCTCCCCGTCGCACGTCGAGGCGGGTAGAACGTCGTCGTCCCCCTCGGGTGTGACCGCCATCTCTTCCATTGCGCTGCAAGGAGCCGGGGTCTCACCCTGCTCGGGGCGTGCCTCGTCCGCGGGATCCGTGGTCGTCGCCCCGCCGAGCGATGGGGCGGTCCCCTCGGGTGGCGCTGCGCCCTCAGGCGCGACAGTGGCCCGCAGTCGCTCCTCTGCTCGTGCCGGTGCGGCCGCGGCTGGGTCCGGTGGTCGTCCCTCTGCCTCGGTCGCATCCGGCGGGTGGTTTTGGCCGCCGGCGGCGGCGGCGGCTGTGCTCACCGTGTTCTCCGCCGTGCCCTCACTGCCGCTCCCTGCCGCCCCTTCTGGGCAGCCGTCCGGCTCGGTGGTGCCGCCAGCGGTGCCCGCCCGCTTTGGAAAGGTGCCGTCGCACCCCCCCTCTGCTCGGCTGGCTTTGGCTTTTCGCTTTCATGACCTAACTAGCACGAAGCCATCTTTGTCGCCTTCAGGCGCCGGCTCTGCGCGGCCAGGCGCAGGGTCAGCGCGTTCCTGCTGCTGTTGCTGTTGCTGCTGTGGTTGTGGTTGTTGCTGCTGCTGCTGTTGCTGCTGCTGTTGTTGTTGCTGCTGCCGTTGTTGTGGTTGTTGCTGCTGCTGCTGCTGTTGTTGCTGCTGCTGCTGCCGCTGCTCAGCGTGCGCCGGCACGGGTGGAGCAACGTTCTCCTTGCCCTTGGTCGGGCAGCTCCTCCGGGTGTGGCCGACGCCGCCGCAGCCGAAGCAACGCTGTACAGCCGTGGAGGCGTATACGGTGTAAACGTGTCCCTCGATGGTATACTTCAGGGTCACGTTGAGTTCTGTATTGCTGTCCTTCAATATCATAAATGTCTGTCGCCGCAGCGACATTACATGTGCCATCCTCGTGTCCCTCGTCCGCAATGGCAACATGATGACGCGGGACACTACGGTGCCTAAGCGGAGGAGGTCCCGCTGCAGGTCCGCACATTTCAGGAATGGCGGCGCGCCGGAGAGGAGCACCTTCACGGCAGGCGAGGAGAGGGGGGTGCACTGTAAAAACAGCTCCCCCCCCACGTCCAGCTCCGTCTCTGCAAGGCGCGCCACCATGGCCTCCGCCGTATAAAGGACGACCCCGTGATTTTCCCGTTCGCTAACGAGGATGCCCGCCATGCCAATGACCTCAGCCGCCGCCGCGACGACGGCCTCAACGGTGATCTCGGGCGGGGGGAACACCATCACGCCGTTCCTTCGCGAGAGGGTTTAAAGCTTGGGGTACTGTGCCATGATGCTTGGCGACAGCACCCTAGCGTGCAAAACGCGGCTGCACTACCCCAAATAAATTGGAGGGGAAAATAAATAAATAAATGCACAAAAAATCATAAAGACCCACCTAAACCCACAAGACCCGTGAAACCAAGGAGGAACTCACTAGAAAGAAAGAGTGAGAAAAAAGAACAAAGGAAACCCACACGAGAGAAAGAGAGAGTGCTGCGAGTGAGTGAGTGAGACCAGGGAGAGAGACACAGAGAGAGAGCACACAGACACGGGGGGGGGGGAGGCGCAGAGAGAGAGACACGGAGGGGGGAGAGAGACACAGAGAGATGGACACGGGGGAGGGACACACAGATAGAGACACGGAGAGGGAGAGAGACACAGAGAGAGACACAGAGATAGACACGGGGGGGGGGGGGTACACAGAGAGAGATACACGGAGGGGGGGAGAGACACAGAGAGAGAGACACACAGAGACAAACACCGAGAGGGACTCAGAAGGAGAGAGACAGAGAGAGAGACACAGAAAAACAGAGAGACACAGAAAGAGAGACACACCGAGAGAGAGGGGGGTGAGAGAGGCAGCCACAGCAGGCCCAAGGCTGCTCGTGGTGCCGTAGGGATGGAAGAAAAACACACAAAACAAATAAAACCAGCACCACGTGAAAGAAACGGAGAACTCACAGTGAAGGAAGAGAAGGATGTTGAACACGACGACTCAATAAACGAAAAAAAAAGCGGGGTAAAGCGTCTATAAACGCGTGGGCACTCTCTCAGCCTAGGCTCAGGCTATCACGTGAGCCCAGGCCTCCATCCACACCAACGTTGGAGCGGGAGCAACAGGTTCGTGCGGCCGCACCCAAACAGGTGGAGAGAGAGAGAGAGAGACACGGAGAGAACGCTTCACGAATTTGGGTGTCATCCTTGCGCAGGGGCCATGCTAATCTTCTCTGTATCGTTCCAATTTTAGTATATGTACGGCCGGATCAGAGAGAGAGAGAGAGACACGGAGAGAGAGACACGGAGAGAGAGACACGGAGAGAGAGAGACACGGAGAGAGAGACACTTGAAACAGGTTTCTGTGTAGAGCGGTCTCCATCGTGGAGAGGAGCGGTGGTACGGGTGCGGGTATCCATTTGCGACCCTGGTGCGGCCGGGTACGGGTACGGGTAAGGAATCAAAACCCGTTTGCGACCTCTGTCTCTCGTACGTCAACAGCCCGGACAGGTGAGAGCCTCAACAGGTGCACATCGAGCTGCCGATTGAAGGTGGATTGTGCTTGGCTATCAGAATTGTAATATTTATAAACACTGGCGGGATTCTACGAGCTGTCAAGCTCTCTCTTGGTAGCTCTCTGGGGCACGTCAGAAAGTTACAACAACAACAACAAAATCAAAACACGATTGGGCTCGCCGCTAAAACGAATCCATCATCAGGTGTGGTTTTCACCACACCTGGTGATGATTATTATTTTGATGATCGAACTTTCCCTGGGGAGCTGTAACAGTTAAAAACGATACGGACCAATGGCTCAACGTCGATTGTGAAGGCTCATGAAACACACGCGGGATCACGTGCGTGAGATATCGATGGCTTTGTGAACCCCCCCCCCACACAGCAGTCAGCGCACTGTGACCAGGGATCTGACCCGAGTCAGATCCCTGGTCACGGACAGCGTCAGTGGCGAGTGGTGTCCGAACAGGACCTGGGAATTCACCGTTTACCAACACGAACCGACCGGCACCTCCACCAGCCACCACCGCCGATATCCATCGGCTCCGGTCCCCGCGGCACCGGCGCCGATGCCGCGGATCTCGGACGGATGCGGCACCAATCGCCGGCGGCAATCGAACACCGACGAGCCGCCCGCAACCTCCTCCCGTTCCGTTAGTTGGCGTCCACCGCCCGACACGTCCGGCTCGGAGCTGGCGCCTTCCCCGCCGGCGCCCCGGCGCCGCCCCGGCAAGCGGAAGCGCTGCCGCACGAGCTCCACGCCCTCGCGCAGCCGGTGCCCCTTGGGCGACGACGACCGAGCTGCGTTCCTCGGGTGCCGTCGGTGGTCGGAGGAGGCGCTGTCGCCGTCGTCACCGTGGCCGCCCCGCAGGTCCGCCGACTTGTGCAGGGAGCCGGCCCAGCTGCCGTGGCCGAGCTTGCAGATGCGCGCCTCCCGCTGCTGGTACCGGGGCCCGCCCAGCTCGCCCGGCCGCCAGCCCAGGGCGCCGGCCGTTGGCTCGGCCGCCGCGCTCCACCGGCCGGCGCCGCGCTGCGGGCGCAGGTCCGTGGAGACGGAGGTCAGGGCGCGGCGCCGGAACTCGTGCTCCCCGTTGGTGGACTGCTGCTGCTGCTGCTGCAGGTTTGGCGATTTCCCGCGACGATCGCCGGCGCCAGGATGGACGTGGGGGCCAGACGCTCTCCACCGCCGCTCGGCATCGTCACCGCCGTCATGGCCGTCGTCGTCATCGTCGTCGTGGTGGCGGCGCGAGGTGTCATAGTGAGCGATGGACGCGGGCCGCACCAGCGCGGGCAGCGCACCGCCGCCGCCGCCCACCGCCGAGCCCACCGCGCCGCCCGCCCCGCCGCCGACACCGTACGCCGTGGCCGCCGGGACGGGCACTGCTGGTTCATACCGCACGCTCAGGTTGGCGCGGGCAGCCTCCGCCTTCCTCTCGCGCCTCTGCAGCAGCGCGATGTAGGCGGTCGCCTTGTCGGCGCCGAGTGGCGCCGCTACGGTCGCGGTCACCTCGTCGTCCGCGCCGGCGTCGTCGTGGCGACGGTGGCGGCGGGCGCCATCGCTCATCGGAGGAGGTTTTCCGTCGGGCGACGCGGCGGCGTCGCGGTCGTCGCCGGCGCCTCGCCGGTGCAGGAATGCGGAGCTCTGCATGGCGACGGCGTGCAGCGGGCTCGGGTAGCGGTACACCTCGGAGCTGTCCCGCGAGCGCAGGTCGCAGTGGAAATGCGGGTCGGGGTCACGACCCGGGGCGGAGGTCACGGGGTCGGCGAGCCCGACCGGGGACGTCCGCGCGTCTGAGCCGCCGCCGAGGTCGTCTGCGGAACGAGAGGAAGGAAGATGAGATGCGGAACGCGGACGAGGTGGAGCCGCGCCGGTTGTCTGTGCGGTGGTGGTGGCGGCGAGATGATCACGAGCCACTTCTGAGACCACTTCAAGTGGTCTCCGGTCCGAAGGATCGAAGAACTCACACGACAACTGAGGCCTACGTGGCCCGGCTTTCGGTGGTCGAGAGCCCCAGGGCTTGAGAAGGCGACGGTGATTACGTCAATAAACAAATAAACATTCAGCGTCTTCAGTGATGGTGGACTGGGACTAACATCGGCCCGGCCATTCGTAAACACACCGGGCCAAATTCGGGATACGGGCAGTTATTTAAGTTTATGATAATATTTTTTTTACCCTTTTATCTGGCAACAAAACTGACACCTTTTTCACAAGGAGTCATGTTGCATAGACAACAATACCTGCAGTCGTAATGCAAACAAAAACATAACTCTGATAATGTATGCACTGTACCTTTTATCTGACAAGTTTTGTTGCCACATAAAAGGGTAAAAAAACAATTATCATATTTTTCTACTGGCAAATGAGGTCCCAATGGCATTTAAGTTGAGTTCAATAGTCTGTGTGACAAACTGTGCGGCACTCGTAGCTCGCCGTTGTGATGTGGCGACGCGCAATCTAGTTGGCCCATCGTGAGCTGGATCCAAAAAACACCAAACTGGGCCAGTGAGGAAAAATCTTTGGGGCTGCCGAACATACGGGAGGCGTCATGGCGACTGAGAGCGCAAAACAGCAACGAAGGGCACACATCTTCTTGGTTCTTTCGGTAAAGTCACGTAGAAGGAAGTAATAAAATAATAAAAATAAAACATAATCAAATAATTCTCACGACGTTTCGGCCACAACGCAAGTATCCGTCCTCAGGTGAAGACCAGGTCTGTCGAGAAGACAGAGTCTGTTTCTTCACCTGAGGACGGCTGCTTGCATTGTGGCCGAAACGTCGTGAGAATTGTTTTATTATGTTTTATTTTTATTATTTTAGTATTTCCCTTCTACGTGACTTTACCGAGAGAACCAAGAAGATGAGTCCCTGCAGTCACGAAAGAAGCTTTAAATCGAAAACCGCAGGGCACACAGACGCTCAGCTCAGCCCACGTCAACGCCCCGCGCTCGGCGCTCACCGGACTTGTCTCTGCTGCTGTGCATGTGCAGCTCGCTCAGAGGCCGCTCCACAGTGCACCGCTTCCCCACTCCACACTGCGGGGAGGCGGGACGCGCACACGCGCACACACGCACACGCGCCACACACACGCGCACACGCGCACACACGCACGCACACGCACGCACACACGTGCACACACACGCGCACACGCACACACGCACGCACACGCACACACACGCACGCGCACGCACGCGCACACACGCACACGCACACACGCGCACACGCACGCACACGCACACGCACACACACACCCACACACACTCACACGCACACACGCGCACACACGCACACGCACACACACACACGCACACGCACGCACACACACGCACACAAACACATGCACACACGCACACACACGGACGGGCACACGCAGACACGGACGGGCGGGCGGACAGCTGCTGGGTTAATTCCATACCTGGTGGTGGGCAGCTAAACGCGAAGTGAGGTCAAGTTTGAAACTTTTCTGTACCAAGCGCTGTTTGCCGGCAAACACAACCGGATAAAGATCCCCCCCCCCCCCCGTGTAGCCTTTATCAGACAGTCGGGTGCAAGTGCTGTTGGCGAGTAGCACCTATGAAGGCCGACACGGCACACGAGGGGTGGCCAGCGCCACGTCCGGCCACCTTTGTGTCTCCGAGACCGAGGTTAAACACAGCCCCAACAGGTACCCATTTAAGGCTGAGTCGACCTAGGGGAGGCCCAGGACCACCGCTCCGGAGGAGGAATCACGAAGCCTCTCACCCCGCGTGGAGCGTCAGGCCCCGTTGCATTGGAATAGCGTAGCAGCCGCCATTCTTCCATCATTAATTGTAATAAAGATGCAAGTTAATTCATTGCTTTTTCCTTTATTTGATTTCGATTTAAACCTTTCGTGACTGCAGGATTCATATTCTTGGTTCTTTCGATAAAGTCACGTAGAAGGGAAATCATCACCTAATGATGATTGCTTGAGTTGCAGTCGAAACGTCGTGAGAATTTTTATTGTTTTATATTTATATTATTTTATTTTTTCCCTTCTACGTGACTTTACCGAAAGAACCATGAATATTATTTGATTTCATTTAACATTTTTATTTGTTTTACCAGATAAGCCTCTTTGACAGAAACGACCTGGCCACAACTGATAGCTCGACGCAGTCTCGCCTCTCCATCACGTGCAAATGTAGCGGCGAGGCAAATCCGCTAAAGGCGTGCTCCTAAATGTGGAGGGAAAAAAACAGAGGACGCGGAGATAAATCCACGCGACCACATAAACTCCAAATACGCAGCATATATTTACGCAATCTAACCCCCCCCAAAAAAACCTGTATTGTGGATGATATTGGGTCGCGAAAGCCTGCCACGTGTTAAGCCGACTTAAGCCGTGGTTCCGTTTAATGTCGTCGCGGTCCGCACCGCCGATGAACACGGTTGGCCACGTAGGTTGCTAAATTAACGATACAAGCCGCAAATAGTCCCACCGTGGCCACGCGACCCAAGCTACGGACCGCAGAGTGAACCCACAGAGACACACGGTGGCAGGCAGAGTCTCGTATACAGAGATGCACAGAGACTCGTCGAGATAAATACACGCGGAGATGTCTTCAAGAGAAGCCACAGCGTTGAGGTAGCCACGCGACCCAAGCTACGGACCGCAGAGTTAACCCACAGAGACACACGGTGGCAGGCAGAGTCTCGTATACAGAGATGCACAGAGACTCGTCGAGATAAATACACACGGAGATGTCTTCAAGAGAAGCCACAGCGTTGAGGTAGCCACGCGACCCAAGCTACGGACCGCAGAGTTAACCCGCTGCGCTCCTTCAACAGAGGAGGTGGAAACAGCGACACGACACAAACGTTCTCTTCTCTCTCTGCTGAAGCCCTTTCGTCGTGTCCAGCAGCAGACATTGGTTGGCATCGAGCGCAACACGCGCGCACGCTCACGTCAATGCCATATGCGTGCCCCCTCTCTCTCCTCTCACACTCGCCCCTGTAGGAGCCCGGCCTTCCTTCCAAACACGACCTTCCTACACGACCTTCCAAGGGAGAGCGGTGGCGCAGCGGTTGGCGCAACTGCGCTGTACGAATCCACTCACCCGAGTTGGGATTCCTGGCCCGCAGACGTCATCTGAACTGGTAGAGTGCGCTAAGCACTGCGCCACCACTCCCATTGTATCCTCTGCACAAACATGACAACAACTCTACAAGAGACTAAGATCCCCCGTATAGCCTTAACAGACTGTAGGGTGCTGTTAGCGAGCACCTATGAAGGCCGGCACGGTACACGAGGGGGTGGGTGGCCAGCACCACGCCCGGGCGCCTTTGTATCCCCAGTGGCGATGTTCACACACCGCACCAGGTACTCATTTGAGGCTGAGTCGACCTAGGTGAGGCCCAGGACCGGTTCTGACACGACACGCAACACCGCACACACGTCACGACACGCGTGCGCGCACGGCCCTCTCTCATTCTCTCTTCCCGACTCGCTCGCTCCACTCACTCACCGGCTGATCCTCCTCCGGATCATCATCCGCCTTCCCGTCCGACCGTCCTGGGCCCCGGCCATAGCACCGCCGCTGCTGCTGTTGCTGCTTCTGTTGCTGCTGCTGCAGCTGCTGCTGTTGCTGTTGCTGCTGCTGTTGCTGCTGCTGCTGCGGGGGCGGTGGTGGCAGGGCGAGCGCCTGTCGCACCGTCGCCTCGTGCTGCTCCCGCAGGAGCCGCAGTTCCCGCAGAGCCGCGACGCTCAACTCCAGCCGCTCGCGAATTCTCTCCGGCGGAGCGGACACGCAGAGTGCCTTGGGCATGGTGGTAGTGGTGATGGTGGTGGTGATGGTGGTGGTGGTGATGGTGGTGGTGGAGGTGGTGGTGGAGGTGGTGGTGATGGTGATAGTGATGGTGGTGATGGTGGTGGTGGAGGTGGTGGTGGTGGTGGAGGTGGTGGTTGTGGTGGTGATGGTGGTGGTAATGGTGGTGATGATGGTGCTGGTGGAGGTGATGGTGGTGATGGTGCTGGTGGTGATGGTGATGCTGCTAATATCGATGAATGTCCGTGTACACACGCGCACTGGAGGAGCAGCAGGAGAGGGGAGGGAAGAGCCACCGACTCCCGACAGAGCCACTGCTGCTGCTGTAGTAGTTGTAGTATTAGTAGCTGTAGTTGTAGTAGCAGTAATAGTTGTAGTAGCTGTAGTTGTAGTGGTTGTAGTAGTAGTAGTGTACGTGACGCGGTGTCGTGGTGGGGTGAGTGGGTCAGGCTCAGGGGGGTTTGTTGGGAGGTGCTGGGGGCTGGTGGGTGGGGGTCAGCCAGCCGGTCACTGGCGTCACCCCCCCCCCCCCCACCTGGTGAACATCGCTCATTGGGCAGCAGCTGCCCCCTCCGTCTCCTCCCATTGGCAGACGCCTCTCCCCCTCCATCCCTCGCCCTTCCACCTCCCTCCCCCACCTCCCCCTCCCTCCCCCACCTCCCTCCCCCACCTCCCCCTCCCACCTCCCCCTCCCACCTCCCCCTCCCTCCCCCTCCCTCCTCCTCCTCCCTCCCCCTCACCCCCCCCCTACCTCCCCCTCACACCTCCCGCTCCCCTCCCACCTCCCCCTCCCTCCCCTCCCTCTCCCACCTCCCACCTCCCCCTCCCACCTCCCCTCCCTCCCCCTCCCACCTGTGTGTACACACACGTGTGTGTGTGAGTCTATGTATGTGTGTGTGAGTCCATATGTGTGTGTAACTCCATGTATGTGTCTAAAGTCGATGTCTGTCTGTGTGAGTCCATGTATGTGTGTCTAAAGTCGATGTCTGTCTGTGTGAGTCCATGTATGTGTGTCTAAAGTCGATGTCTGTCTGTGTGAGTCCATGTATGTGTGTCTAAAGTCGATGTCTGTCTGTGTGAGTCCATGTATGTGTGTCTAAAGTTGATGTCTTTGTGCGTGTGGGCCAATGTTTGTGTGTAAGTCCATGTGTGTGTCTGCACATGAAACAGGAGTTGTGTTGAGATGTTAAAACACAAAACAGAAACCTTTCGCAAGGAATCATGTCACTGAATTAGCCACACGAGGTGCTACTACTGTACGTGTTACATACTATTTTGGTCTTTCGCTAAGTCACCTAGATAGGTTAAACATTAATATGTGTACACCTCCCACCACCCCTGTACCCCCCTACCCCTCCTGCACCCCTCATCCAGCAGTGGATAGAGTCTACCCTACGCGATATTGACTCTAGACGTGAGTATTGAGAAAGACATCCAAGGAATGTGCTTAAATAAACAACTTAGAGGCCACAATCGATTCTTGGCCAGAGCCTAAGCCACCACCCCTTGCTAATAAGTGACGTGTCGAGTCAACAGCCCACTGAGTCAACACTAAGGACACTGAGTCCTCAACACAGACGCGGGCGGGGTGGGTGGGTTGGAGAGCAGAGACCTCCACTCTCGGTCAAGTCGCGTGCTGACTCGCATCTTGCAGGGCTGCTGCTGCTGCTACTGCTGCACCATTGCTGCTGCTGCTGCTGTGGTGCTGTTGCTGGTACCTCTATCATCCAAGCCTCTCATCATCACCTGCTCCTGTGTGGGTGAGTGGGTGGATGAGTGTGTGGGTGGGTGAGTAGGTGAGTGGATGAGTGGGTGGGTGAGTGGGTGGGTGAGTGAGTGGGTGGATGAGTGTGTGGGTGAGTGTGTGAGCGACTGGGTGAGTGAGTGAGCGACTGGGTGAGTGAGTGGGTGAGGGGTGGGTGGGTGGATGAATGGGTGTGTGAGTGGGTAGGTGAGTGTGTGGGTGAGTGTGTGAGCGACTGGGTGGGTTAGTGTGTGAGCGACTGGGTGAGTGAGCGAGCGACTTGGTGAGTGAGTGGGTGGGTGAGTGGGCGGGTGAGTGGATGAGTGTGTGGGTGAGTGTGTGAGTGGGTGGATGAGTGAATGAGTGGGTGAGTGAGTGACTGGGTGAGTGGGTGAGTGAGTGTGTGAGTGGTTGGGTGAGTGGGTGGGTGAGCGACTGGGTGAGTGAGTGGGTGTGTGAGTGGATGAGTGGGTGGATGAGTGTGTGGGTGAGTGTGTGAGCGACTGGGTGAGTGAGTGGGTGGGTGAGTGTGTGAGTGGGTGTTGAGTGTGTGGGTTAGTGTGTGAGCGACTGGGCGAGTGAGTGAGTGAGCGATTGGGTCAGTGAGTGTGTGAGTGTGTAGGTGGGTGTGTGAGTGAGTGGGTGTGTGAGTGGGTGGGTGAGTGAGTGTGTGAGTGTGTAGGTGGGTGGGTGAGTGGGTAGATGAGTGTGTGGGTGAGTGTGTGAGTGGGTGGTGAGTGTGTGTGTGAGTGAGCGAGCGACTGTGATGAGTGAGTGAGTGGGTGTGTGAGTTGGTGGGTGATTGAGTGGGTGTGTGCGTGGGTGTGTGAGTGGGTGGGTGAGCGACTGGGTGAGTGAGTGGGTGTGTGAGTGAGTGAGTGGGTGAGTGGGTGGGTAATAATATAATAATAATAGTACAATTTGTAACGCGCGCAAATTTGCAGACGTAGTGGCCGCAACTCAGAGGCGCGGAGCCAAGCTCAGAGTCACTCAAAAGCACGTGGTTGAAGAGGTGAGTTTTTAAGTGTCTCTTGAAGGAGGCGATTGAGGTGATGCTGCGAATGTGCAGAGGGATATCGTTCCAGACTGTTGGGGCTGCCACCGAGAAGCGGCGCGTAGACACGATGACCATCCTGGATCTTGGTATCGAGAGGAGGTCGTGAGTCGCGCTGCGCAGGCATCTGCCGTGTGCTGAGCTGCAAGTTGTCAGTAATGAAGAAAGATATGGCGGGCAGGCGGATATGAAGGCATTGTGGCAGAGGCAGGCGGTCTTGTATGTGACCCTACTGGCAATGGGGAGCCAGTTGAGAGCGCGGAGACGAGCTAGTGAGTCGAGGCGGGGATGAGTGTGGGCAATGACGACGCGTGCTAGGTTATTTTGTAGTCTTTGAAGCTTCCTTAGGTTGCCAGCGGAGGTCCGGACAAGGACGGAGTTACAATAGTCAAGGCGAGACCCAACTATGCAACATGCCAAAGTGTTGGCAATTTCAGTAGAGATGAGAGGACGTATGTGTCTAAGAGCCTTCAGGTGAAAGTTACATGAGCTGATGATATGGTTGGTTTGACGGTCGAAGGATAAAGTTGAATCGAGGATGATACCGAGGTACCTGAAGTGGTCGGTGAACTTGTTGATGTGACCGAAGATGTGTATGTGTGTGGGGAGTGCTGCTGAATTGAGACGTTGCTTGTGTAGTGACATAAGAAGGGAGGGGCTGCTGGGGGCTCTGGGATCCCAGGCAAGTCCAGACGCTTAAGCCTCTGGGTGCCAGGCACTGGGTTCCCAGAGGGTCCAGACTATTAAGCCTCTGGGCGCCAGGCGTTGGGTTCCCAGGCGCTTAAGCCTTTTTGGCGCCGCCAACGGGGGGGGGGGGGGCTGTGTGTGCTCTGTGGGATGTCTGGTGGCGCACACGGCCCCACCCCTCGTTAGACTAGGCATAAAAGGAGAGCTCCCTGGACGATCAGGGCCCAGTTGTAACTCAAGACCCAAGACCCACGACCAGCCATCTGAAGACCCTGGGATGCTGTGAGAGCCAGTGGTGGGACTCTGGAACTCCCGACTCTACGACCTTGTGAGGGCGAGTTGCAGAGCGTAGCCAGAGTAGAGTATCTAGGCTGTGTAGCTAGGCTGTAACAGAGTATCAGGACTGTTGGAGAGTTGGACTGTTGGAGTGTTGTATTGTAATAAAGAAGTTACCTCTACAAGTGTCTCCGGAACCCGTTACACTTGGTACCTAACATGATGGCCACTGACTTTTTCGGATTAAGGGCTAGGTTGTGTGCAGTGAACCATTGTTGCATGGCGGTGGTACATTCCGAGAGCCTCTCGAATCCAGATGCATTGCTAGAATCGATGGCGGTGAATATAATCGTGTCATCCGCGTATGAGTGATGCTTAACACCGAAGCTTGCAATGAGCCGGCCGATCGGGGAAGTGTAGGCTGTGAAGAGCAGGGAACCTAGTACAGAGCCTTGGGGAACCCCCCATTTTGAGGGTGTGGAGTTTATCCTGTTATGTACGAAACTTGGGAACCCTAGCTACATACAATGTCTGCTGCCAGTTTTATAGGGCTGAACATTGAAAATGTCTAAGTGTACAATTATTGCGATTACCATGTCTCTATAGTCGTGGTTGAAGAGACATTGTAATGTTTTTAAACTATTTTATCTTTTCCTGTAATTTCTTGAAATTCTGTTTTGGCGGGTTAAGTAAAAACATGCCTTACAATGGCTGCCCATAAAAAAATTGTTTTAATGCATTTGTTTTCTGCCTATTTGTTTTAGTGGCCAGGTACTGGGCCGATTCTGCTGCGAGACCCGAGTGTGTGCTTCGCCGGGGAGAGATGTAAAAATGTAGGTGAAGAATGAAATAAAAATTAATAAAAATAAAATAATAAAGATCACGACGTTTCGGAAGCAACACAAGCTTCCGTCTTCAGGTGAAACTGTCACAGCCAAATATCTGTATCACTTGAAGACGGAAGCTTGTGTTGCTTCCGAAACGTCGTGATTTTTATTTTATTTTAATTTCATTTTTTACCTACGTGACTTTACCGAAAAAAACTAAGAGTATGATTCCTTGCAGTCGTGAAAGCTTCAAATCTCGAAGATATCAAAATGGACGAGCGGTGCATGCATCAGGACGATGAGGAGCTGCAGCAGCAGCAGCAGTCTCCAAACAATTGGAAGGCTCCTTCACACACCAGGCAGAATGCAGCTCAGTCTGTGCAGCAGTATCATCCTGCCTTGGCAGAGGCAG